TCCTTGAGAGGGAAGCAAGAACCCGTAAGTGCAAGCCCCGTTTGGGGGATCAAATGGAGCTTCAAAGCTGAACCTGCAATGGGCGAGTTGCGCACTCGAGACGTACAAGACAATCGGGTGCTTGCCAGTATGCACACAAATATAGGGTCTGAAATCAATCGGTGGGGGCACTTCGAACCTCCACAATCGCACGGACCCCGTATTTTTCTTGTTTGTATATGCATTCGCCGCGGCCCACGCCTGCACTTGGCAGTGTTTCGTCACCAACGATCTTGGCGCCATCGGGTGCTCTCGTTCGTCATACGTGCTACTCGTCCTGATAAGATCCTTGACTCTCATCCCTGCGCATCCCCATCCACTGCGTGAGAGCGATGATAATATTCCGAGTTCTATCCAGGAGGCTACATGAATGTGGGCTTGGCGCCTGAGATTGCCCCAACACGTTCTACTGCTAGGAACTCATGCCATTGTGCACCAAGCTTCTGACACGATGTGATTCGTTGAATACCTACTGGCATGGCGTAACAAACCTACCCTTACGTCGGACTTGTCCTCCTACAGGCGGATCGGAAGAAAAAACATCCAAACATAATCAAATATAGGTATAACAAATCGTCGCCAGACCATGTTTCTGCTATTATTCCCTACCTAGGCTCTGCCAAGAGGGTTCTTACTCTATTAGCTTAAAGGGGCCGGGCAGTGGGCTTCGCCCCGGGCGGTTTCCCCGGTCCCCGCCCCGCGGTTCCCCCAGTTGCGCCCAATTACCTTAGCTTTGCGTATCTCATCTTAGCTTAGCTTAGCTTAGCTTTGCTTAGCTTCAGCTTAGCTTCGCTTAGCTATAGCTTAGCTGTAGCTTAGTTCAGCTTAGCTTAGCTGAGCTTAGCTTAGCATATCATAGCATAGCCCAGCATAGCATAGCATAGCGCAGTATAGCATAGCATAGCATTGCATAGTATAGCATAGCATAGCGCAGCATATCATATCATAGCACAGCATAGCGCAGCATAGCATAGCATACCATAGCCTAGCATAACATAGCGCAGCATAGTATAGCATAGCATAGCGCAGCATAGCATAGCATAGCATAGCATAGTGCAGCATAACATACCATATCATAGCGTAGCAGCAACGCAAAGGCAAAGCAACATCAGCAACAGCAAAGCAAAGCACAAGCAACGCAAAGCAAAGCAAAAGCAAAAGCAAAGCAAAAGGCAAGACAAAGGCAATACCAAAATCAAAGGCAATGCAAAGCAACAGCAAAACCAATGCGAAAGTGTAGATGTAGATGTAGATGTAGATGTAGATGTAGGTGTAGGTGTAGATGTGGATGTAGGTGTAGATTTAGATGTAGATGTAGCTGTATATGTATATGTAGATGTAGATGTTGATGTAGATGTAGATGTAGATGTAGATGTAGGTGTAGATGTAGGTATAGATGTAGATGTAGATGTGAGTCTCGCTGTTGATGTTGATGTAGCTGTAGATACAGGTGTAGATGTAAATGTAGCTGTCGGTGTAGATGTAGATGTTGCTTTCCTAAATGCTCCAACTCCTAGGTAGGGTCGCACTGGGATAATTGCATATTCCTCCTGCAGAGATACATGTTTGATTTGATTTGGCATGGTATAACAACCCTGACATGGCGTAACAGACCTTCCTGGCCGAGGCCACGGAGGGCCAGAACACCACCCCAAGGGCCAGGATGGATCTGGCCAGGCAAGACAGATAGGCAAGCGCGCTCCACTACAGTGCGGACTGCAGTCGCAGAGGAGCGACTCGCAAGTGGCCTGGATCCACTGCGTCGAGGCAGAGAGGCTCCATTGCATCGCACAGCGCTCGATGTTTGCGAGTGGGCACTTTTTGCGAGTACAGTCGGGGCGTTGACCTAAGGAACCCTAAATAAGGAACGAGGCCCCTTTTTTCCATAGATTAAACTTAGATTTCCTATCGAAAACATAAGGGAATCCTGAGGCAAGCTGTGAAACACTTAAGGAACGCGGAGCCCCTCCCCAACCAAAAGGGTTCCTTCTTCAGGGCACCGACTGTAAGTGGCCTGGATCCATTGCGTCGAGGCAGAGAGGCTCCATTGCATCGCACAGCGCTCGCATGTTTGCGAGTGGGCTCTTCTTGCGAGTAGGCGAACGCGCTCGGTGAAGACAGAGAGGAACTGCACGAGCAGATACCTCCAGAGGCTCCTGCGGACTCCTTGGGTCGGCGCCGGAGCTCTTCGGCGCCACCCATCCCCCTCCCTGGCGCGCGCAGCGCGACAGGAGTGGCGCCAGAGAGGGGGGGCCCGCGCCGACCCGAGGAAGCCCAAGCGGACCTGCGAGATCGCCTGCCTCTGACAGCTCCTCCTCCTCTGAAGGGGCCCCAGGGCACACAAAGAAATACACACAAATAAAAAAGTATTCCCAGATTCTTCCCCTATCTTCGGGGAATCGGCGATGAATTGTGTCTGTGTGTGTTTTTTTCCCTCCTCCTCCTCGAGAGGCGCAGGGCCGGATGCCGCCCCCAAGGGCCCGTGCCTCCCAGTGCTGCGCGCGCGCACTCGGCGGTGGACAAAACCTCCCTTTGGCAAGCCTCCCCTCAGGGACAAACGGCCTGGGGCCGAAGGCCGCGGACCTGGACCCGCAGCAATTACTCCTGCGATGCCCTCTCGCGAAGCGAAAACGGCCAAGTCTTGGGGAACGAAGAATGGCATAAACATCAAAACTCGGAGGTCCGCGCGGATTTCTCGGATCCGCGCTGGGCCGCCCTGGCGGCGCTGGCGCGCTCCGCGCGCCAGGGAGGGTGGTCCAGCGCGGATCCAAGAAATCCGCGCGGACCTCCGAGTTTTTATGTTTATGTCATTCTTCGTTCCCCTAAATTCACTAATCGACGTGTCAGGGTAGGAGGCCTGTCCACCCCCGACGCGCGCTGCTCTGCGCTGCGCGCGGCGCGGCCTTTTCCCGCCGGGAGCCGCGGCGCGGCCTCTCGCGCACTGGGCCGCGGCCCGTCCTGGGAGCAGAAAAGGGCGGCGTGGGTGCGGATATCCCCCTCCGCCCACGGCTCTCGCTCGGCCCCGCCCGCGGTGCTCCGGCTCGAGGGCTGCGAGTTGGAGGAGGGGAGGGAGGGAGGGAGGGAGGGAGGGAGGAGGAGGAAGGGAGGGAGAGAGGGAGGAGGGGGGGGAGGGAGGATCCTCTTCCTGCTCCCTCCCTCCCCCAGTCCCCACCCGGGCGCTCCCTCCCGCTTCTCCTGCTCCTGGTGCCTCCTCTGCCCAGGGTGGCTCGGGGGGCCGAGCCGCTGAATCCCTCCCTGCCCAGAGTGGCCCTCTGAGCGGCGCGCGCACGGGGGGCAGGGGGAGGGGGGGAGGGCTCTTCGAAGGAGGCTGCTTCTCAGAAGGCGCCGGCCTGCTATCTCTCCAGCGAGGGCGGGCGCCCCCTCAGAAGCAGGGGAGCTGCTGAGAAGCCTTCCCCCCCTCTCCCCCATGCCCCCCTCTGCGCGCTGACCGGCCCTCGGAGGGGCGGGCCCTCCGCCACTCCTCCGGAGGAGACGAGGGAAAGCGCGCGGCCGCCAGGCGACCACGAGTCCGAAGAGGACAGGGGGTGCCAGGGCCTTCCGGCAGACTGCGCGCTGCATATATGCGCACAGGATCCTGCCGCCCGGGGACGGCGAGGAGCGGCTGAGCCCCCTCGGCGGAAGGTCGGCGACATGCAGACGCGCGCATCTCGTGAGCAGACTCGCAATGACGAACGAGCAACACACACACCCATACCCGTAGGGGGGTCCTTGCGAGGGGGACTGGCTATGGGTATGGGTGCGGGCTGTCGTGCGGGGACCCCCATCCGACAACACGCACCCATAGCCCTCTCCGACCCCCCTATGGGTATGGGTGTGTGTGTTGTCGGTTCGTCAAGCAACCTGCTCGAGCTCGCCTGGGGCGCGCCTGGCTGATGCTTGAAGCCTGCGGCCATCTGGCGAGCAGAGCCCTGAAACCCTGTCGGCGCAGCGCGCAGGGCACAAGACGGCCCGTATCGTCAGAGGACTCCTCCAGCCGCGCTGGCTGCGCTTGTATGAGGGGGCCTAGGGCAGGCCGGCAGCTCGGGCGGGCGGGCCCCCGCTGGGCCGCCGCCCTTGGGCGCCGAGGGCACGAAGCTCCTCGCCCCTGGACGCAGGACACGGCCGCGAGACCGCGTTGGCGGCGGGCTGGGCCCATCGCCAACGCGCCCCTCTGGCCGTGGGGCCGCGCGGCGGTGCGCCGCATAGGCCGCGCGCGCCGTCGGGCGACGGGGGCACGAACAGCCCGCCAGGCTCCCCAGAAACGCAGACACGGCCGCGCCACCGCGTCGGCGGCGGGCCGGGCGCATCGCTGGCGCGCCCCTCCGGCCACGGGGCCGCGCGGCGATGCGCCGCGAGGCCGCGCGCGCCGCCTCCTCAGCGGAGGCCCCCGCGGCATCGGGGGTTGCGATAGGTGCCCCTGGCCCAGAGGTGCCCCCAGCTCTGCGCTCCACTTGGGGACCCTCCCCGGGCCCCCTAGGCCGCGGGGGCCCCTTTGGGCATCCTGGGGGCACCCCTGGGCCAGGGGGCACCTCTGGCAAACACCCCCCCGCAGCCCCCTCCCCCCCCCGCCGCGCCGCTGCGGCTGGCGCCGCGGGGCCCGGCGCGCCGCTGCGGGCCTCGCGGCCTCCACCCGCCGCCCGGGGCTTCTTTGGCGCCGCTTCGGGCCGGCGCGCCCGCCCGCCCTCGGGCCTCGCGCGCCCCTCGGCGGGGCGCCGCGCGGGAGGGGCCGGCGGCGCCCCCGTCGGCGCGGCCCCCACGCGGGCCGCAGCGTCCGCCCTCCGGGGCCGCAGGACGGCCCCGAGAGCACCGCAGAGCAGCCGAAGAGGGGCCCCGAAGAGGCCAGCAGGGCCCTGGGGGGCGCCCAGGAGATCGCGCCGGCGCCGCCTGCTCCCAGCAGCCTGTGCAGGCGCGGCGACGGGAGGGAAAAGAGAGAGAGATAGAGAGCGGGAGCGGGAAGCAAGCAGGCGACGGCGAAGGCGCAGGCGGAAGGCCGGGGCTGGCAGGCGGGCGGGCAGGCTGAAGGGATCGAGGGGAGACAGCAAGCACACCAGCAGACCAGGCGGCGGAGGCGGAAGGTGTGCTGAAGTGGGTGGCGCTTGTCGGGTTCGTCGCCAGGGAGGGGGGGGGCAGGGAGCGTCCCTGGGAACACCACTGCCGCTCCTCTGGCTGCCCTCGGCGGGGTCCGCAATGGACAGCAGACGAAGTGCGCTGTGTGGCCCACCTGCTTCTTCCCTGACACCGCGACCGCAATGGCAATAACGTGACACAATGGTGATAATCTGAACAGAAAGAGTCGGTAAACAATCCTACCGCCAGACCGTTCTCGCCCGTTCCTCCCACCGTGTGGCCCACGTGCCTGGCCTTCCTCCGCGCAAGCGCGCGGGGGGGACGGCTGTGCCTGTCCGCGCTGGGCATGTTCGCCTTCCGGCGCAGCGGCTGGTGCCGCCGCCGCCGAGACGAGCCTCCCCGCCACATATCGGCTACACGCAGGAGTGACCCTGCAGGGGTAAGAGTGACCCTCGGTGCGCAGCTTTTGGGGGACCACGGGGGGACCAAACCCACGCGCGCAAGGCGCCACTGCCGCCTCACGCTCGGCGATCGGGGGGCCCCACTGGACCCGCACCAAAAGGCCACTCTGGCGCAAGGTCACTCTTACTGGGTAGTCGACCATAGCGCCGGTGCCCAGGGCGCCCCGCGCGCCTGCAGCTCCGCCACCGCTGGGCGAAGCGAGCTGGTCCGTCGCTTCTTGTGATGAGCCTGTTTTCCACCACCACCACCACCATAAGTTGGAAGGGGGAAGGAGAAGGAGGAGGAGGAGGAGGAGGAGGAGGAGGAGGAGGAGGAGGAGGAGGAGGAGGAGAGGGAGGGAGGTGGGGACGAGGATGAGGAGGAGGAGGAGGAGGAGGAGGAGGAGGAGGAGAGAGGAGGACGACGACGAGAAGGGAGGGGGGGAGGAGGAGGAAGGGGAGGATGGAGGAGGAGGAGGAGGAGGAGGAGGAACCCCCCCCCCTCCAACTTGTGGTGGAGGAGGAGGAGGAGGAGAAAACACGCCCATCATCTTGCGGTGGCCGCGGGAGCGCCCCGCCACCGAAGCCCGCCCGCCGGCTGCGCCCCGCGGCGCCACCGCAGACGCAGGGCGCCCTGAAGGCGCCCGGCCGCGGGGCAGGCGCGGCCTCGAGCGAAGCACGCGCACCCTGACTGATGGGCCTGTTTTCCACCACCACCACCATAAGTCGGAGGGGGAGGGGTTCCTCCTCCTCCTCCTCCTCCCCTCCTCCTCCTCCTCCTCCTCCTCCTCCTCCTCCTCCTCCTCCTCGTCCTCGTCCTCGTCCTCCACCTCCTTCCCCCCTCCAACTTATGGTGGTGGTGGTGGTGGAAAACAAGCCACTGACGGCTGCGCGCTCAGCCGGCAATGCTGACAGGGAGCTTTCCGCGCCGTCGCTGGAATCCGCCGGAAGGGAGGCCAGGGGCACACTCCCTGAGCTGAGGGCGCTCTCGGTGAAGCCCGACTCCTGCATCGGGGAGCCCGGCTCTTTGAAGGAGGAGAGCTCCGAGGCGAGCCCTGAGGACGGAGCTCTCAACAAACCGGGACACAGGGCTGCAAGCTGCTCGTTCCAGGCACCCCGAACCCCCCCAGAAGTGTGCATCTCTTGGAGGGTCGCTTCTTCCTTCCGCCGGCTTCCGCCCGCGGGGGCGCCATCGTTTCTTACCTCCGCCGCCTTCCGCGGGCCTGCCGCCGCCTGCCGCCGAGGAGGCGTGAGCTCTCCGGGGACGAGGCCCTGCCTGCCACGCCCTGTGTGCGCGTGTGTGCTCCAGGATTCGAGCGCGCACGCAGCAGCACTCCGAGAGGCCGCGGCAGCCGCGGGCACCCTTGCCCGCGCACCGCGAGAGCTCCGCTGCCCGGGAGCCGTCCCCCCAACCCGTCCTCTGCAACGTGGCAGCCTGGGTCGGGCAAAGTGCAGCGCACCTTCGGGGCTCTTCTGACCCGGGTCAATCCAGACCCGGGTCAGTCAGGCCTTGCAGAATCCTGCAAGATCCTGCCAGATCCTGCACCCAAACCCAGGTCAACGCGAAGGATCCTGCAAGATCCTGCAGGATCCTGCGCCCAAACCCGGGTCAGTGCGACCCTGGCCCTGCAGGATCCTGCAAGATCCAGCGCTCTGGCTGACCCCCGTTTGCATTGACCCCCGTCTCAAAGCTCCCGACACCTGGAGCCCATCCAGGCACCGGGCAGTCGAGAAGGACAGTCTCCGCCTGGATCGGGCAGCAACGAGCTATACAAATCTCTCTCGGCAACCCCCATATGAGACAACATTCTCGCAAACAACATCGCGCCTGGACATGATTGCATCCAGCGACTAAGATCGTCCTGACGCCACCGCATCCTATTCCGCCCTTCCTAAACCCTGGGCGACAATCTCTCAATAATTTATCACCTCCGTCTGTCTGTCTGTCTGTCTGTCTGTCTCTCTGTCTCTCTGTCTCTCTGTCTCTCTGTCTCTCTGTCTCTCTGTCTCTCTGTCTCTCTGTCTCTCTGTATCTATGTCTCTCCGTCTCTCCGTCTCTCTGTCTCTCTGTCTCTCTGTCTCTCTGTCTCTCTGTCTGTCTGTCTGTCTGTCTGTCTGTCTGTCTGTCTGTCTGTCTGTCTCTGTCTGTCTGTCTGTCTGTCTGTCTGTCTGTCTGTCTGTCTGTCTGTCTGTCTGTCTGTCTGTCTGTCTGTCTGTCTGTCTCTCTCTCTCTCTCTGTCTGTCTGTCTGTCTGTCTGTCTGTCTGTCTCTGCCTGTCTGTCTGACTGTCTGTCTGTCTGTCTGTCTGTCTGTCTGTCTCTATGTGTCTGTGTGTTCGGCTACGTGTATGTACTGATATGCCTGACATGCCCGAGTATCCCTGCTACATGCGTAGCCCTTGCCACATAAACCCTGCGCCCACTCGAACCATGGCCATTCCATCGTCCTTGACAAATGCTTCTCACTAATCCTACAGTCACCGCGCTTGCTTTGCAAGCAGCCTGTGACACGGTGCATATGCTCAGTTCTGGTGAACGCTGCTACTCGCTAGTGCTACTTAAGGTGCCGTCGCTCTCGTGATGGGCCCTGCCGCCGCGCATGATCCGGGCGATGCGCTGCGTCTCCGCGTCGAGGCGACTGGTCCACTTGGCCTTGAACCGCGGCAGCTCCACAGGGACGGACGTGGTAGCGACGCTTGTGCGGTCGCTGCCTACGTCCGTGCGCGGCGTAGCGAACAGCTCCGCTGCATCGGCCCTGCGCAGCATGGGCGCGATGGCGCTGCCCGCTGGGCTCTGCGGCGCGGAAGTCCGCCGCAGCCTCGGCCCCGAAGACTCGCCAGCATCGCGTCCTGGAGCAGGCCCGCTGTGCCCCGCGGCACTGCCGATCAGGCTCGAGGTGTACTCCAGGTGCTCCTCCGTCTGGCAGGCCGTGTCCGACAGCAGCGCCACGGCGGCCGGGCCCGGCCTGGCGGAGGCCCTGGGCGGCAGCCGGGCGGCCACCGCGGGGGGCGTGCGCAGCGCCGGCCGCGGGGGCGCTGGCGAGGGCGTGACTGGCGGGCTCGGGCTGTCGGCGATCCTCTCCGCGCTGCCGCTCGCGGGCTGCAAGGCGCCGCCCATGCCGCTGACGGACGCCCCCTGCACGCTCTGCGGAGCCAGCGAGCTGCGCGGAGTGGTCGGGAGCGCCTCGGCGAAGCAGCAGCCGGGCGGGAGCGGCCCGGCTCCCGTCCTGGGCGGCGGCGGGTCCGCGCGCCGCTGCGCGCCGCCCTGCTGAACGAGCGCGCGTGGCGAAGGGGCGTCCTCATCGGGCTCGGCGAGGCCGAGCACCGGCCCTGCTGCCCCTGCCCAGGGGCTGGCCCACGGTAGCGGGCCAGCGCCAGAGCGGCGGCTCGGCGGCGGGCCAGCTCCTGCACCGCCAGCGTCGCCGCCGCGCTCCGTGGGCGCCTGCCGCGCCTCACCGCTGCAGGGCACGTCGAAGCTGAGCAGCATCAGGTCCTCGCAGACACCCGACCGTGGCACGCTTGCCGTGTCAGCGCCCTGGTCGGCCAGGCACGTCGGCAGCTCGAGCATGAGCAGATCAACCTCCTGAGGCGCGGGGACCCGCGGCCCGCCCTCGGCAGCCAGCACACCGTCGCTGGCGGGTGCCCCCCGCCCAGCGCCGGGACCCTGCTGCTCGGGGCACGCCGGCGCCGGCTGCGCCTCGTCGCCGTCGCCGGCGAGAGTGGCCAGCAGCCGCTTGTGCAGGTCGTCGAGCTCAGACATGCTGCGCTTGTGTGACTCCAGCACAGCCTCCATGCACCCAGGCTCTGCGTCACTGCCGAGCGCGGGCTCCGTCTCTGGGCCGCTGGGGCGGGGCCTCGCGGCGGCGTCCGCGGGGGTGCCAGCCTCGCCCGCGAGGCCGAGGTCGCCGGCGTAGCTGGTCGCAGCCCTCTCAGCGGCGCCCGCCTCTGCGTCTTCGCAGTGCGTGCACGTGCTCGTCTGCTGCAACGCCACACGCCCGTCGTACACGCACGACATCGCAGAGGTGCTTGACCTTAACGGACCCCCCTGCCGCCGACTGGTCGCACAACCCTTTGGGAATCTACGATCGGTCCCCTGGCTTGACCTGGGTGAGAGCTGACCCAGATGGCCGATTCCGAAATGGCCGACTCTGGCGGCGTTGACTCTCGGCGGGTCAAACATTACTTCTGCTTGGCTTCCCTGGACTTCTGCCTGCGAGGCCACCGTCGTTTTCCTTCTGCAGGCCTCCACTGACCTCCCCCAGGCTTCCCTCGGGGACGAGAGATGAAACCGTCGACCCATCCATGGCGATGCCCGTTCTGGAACGCCCCAGGTAGATCGCACGGATTGGGCTCCCCCCATTTGTGACGATCCGCCGGCGAGCGTCGGCGACCTTCGAGCATGATCCTGACGATCGCTGGAGGCGAAACCGCCACCGCACCTTGTCGCGGATGGTGAGTGTGGGGACCTTGCTGTCTCACGGTAGCTTCGTCCCTCGCGGAGCAGTAATGTCGCCTACAGAAGGGGCGTTAACCTAAGGAACCCTAGATAAGGAACGAGGCCTCTTTTTCCATAAGTTTAACTTCGACTTCCCATCAAAACCCTAAACAAAACCAAAGGCGAACTGCAAAACAGCTAAGGAACACCGAGCCCTTCCCCAACGAAAAGGGTTCCTTCCTCAGCGCCCCAACTGTATAGGCACCCCATCAGGGTCCACAAGGGGTCCCCCCGACGGGCCCCCGGCAAGAGGCTCCAGAGAGGATCCCAAAGGCGCCTCCGAGCGGCCATCAATGGGCAGAGCTGCATCGGCACTGCCCTGCCACGCCACAGCGTTGCTGCGCAGCTTCCGAAAGCGCTGCGGCGGTTGTGCGCGACAGCGGCGATCGCTTCAGGCGGAACTACGAGGCTGGCTCAGACATGGACCACCTGAGCTGACCAGGTGCCTCCGCACTTAGACCTGTGGTGCACAACAGATTTTCAATCGGGCTTGGGGAACTAGTATGATCACATGCTTGCTCACTCCTCTGTACACAATAATACTGCATACTTGCAATCGCCACCGCTGCTCTCTTCAATTAAAGCTGGCTGCCACTGTGCGCAAGCTACAGTATGCCTCCCCCCTTTTTGGGTCAGACGCTGTTTCGCTCAGGAATACGTGCATCAAGAAAGCATGGCAGAGGCCCGTTGAAACAATGCAAGAGATGGACTCGAGCACGTTATTCGCCAATGTTGCCACATGGAACCCTACTCTGCGAGCACACACACACAAGCACTTTCGATGCACGCCCAGTCACGCTCAGTTTCGTGCACGCACGGCCGCGCCACTGCTCAAACGCGGGGCGGGCCTCGCAGCCGAAGGAAAACAGGTGCCGCGGCCTACTCTCCTGCAGGACTCGGGCGGACACGGCGCCACGGACCCGAGCACGGGGGGGCCCCATCGGCGCAAGCACGCGCACGCCCGCACGCACGCGCACGCTCGTGCAGCGCAGCGGCCCCGCCAGTGGTCCCGCTGCTCGATGCCCGCCTTCGGGGCAGGGAGACACTGGAGTGAGCGGGCTGGAGACAGCAGCACGGCCTGCGCTGCGGCGTCGGGCGTCCACAGGAGGGGGCTCTCCCGGGCGCGTCCGTGCCAGAGCTGCCCCGCTCGAGGCCGGGCGACGTCCTGTTGACCGCAGGCCCCTCTAGCTGCCTGGTAAAGCTCCTGTGAGATTTTCTCATGCCGAATGAGGAAGAGGAGGAGGAGGAGGAGGAGGAGGAGGAGGAGGAGGAGGAGGAGGAGGAGGAGAAGGAGGAGGAGAGAGGAGGAGGAGGAGGAGAGGAGGAGGAGGAGGAGGAGGAGGAGGAGGAGGAGGAGGAGGAGGAGGAGGGGGAGGAGGAGAGAAGGAGGAGGAGGAGGCGGAGAGGAGGAGGAGCAGGAGGAGGAGGAGGAGAGGAGGAGGAGGAGGAGGAGGAGGAGGAGGAGGAGGAGGAGGAGGAGGAGGAGGAGGAGGAGGAGGAGGAGAGGAGGAGGAGGAGGAGGAGGAGGAGGAGGAGGGGGGGGTCCCCCCCGCCCCAGCGCCCAGGGGACCCATCCCCCCTCATCGCGCTTCCACGTGGAAGAACTTCGCCCCCTTGCTTTCCTCTCCAGCGCCCTGAAGGAGGCCCGAGAGCGGGCCCGGTTGCCGGCGGCGACAGCAAGACGTCCCACGTCGGTCGCAAGAAGCAGAAAAAGCGCAGGAAAAAGGGAGTAGGAGAGCGGAGGAAGAGGAGGAGGAGGAGGAGGAGGAGGAGGAGAAGGAGGAGGGGGAGGAGGAAGAGGAGGAGGAGGAAGAGGAGGAGGAAGGTGTCATTGGCGGATCTGCGGTGTCGCGAGGTTCTCAACACACGCGGGCCCCGGATCCGCGCGGACAGTTTTGGAAGCCCCCGGGAGCTGGGAAGTGGCCCCGAGAGGCAGACAGCTGTGAGAGAAACTTGCCTTCTATGCTTCAAGACGTCAGGGGTCCGGGAGGTTGTCCACGGGCAAGTCCAAGAGGCCCCAGACAGAAAAAAAACAATGTGTTTGCCGAGGAGAGGACGAAGAGTCAGAGGGGGACGAGGAGGAGAAAGAGAGCGCACGGGGGGGGAAAGAAGAGGGACAGGGGGAGAGGAGGGGGAGGGAGGGAATGGTGGGAAGAGAAGGGGACAGGTGAGGCGGAGGAGAAAGGTACAGGGGAGGAACGGGAGGAGGGAGATAGTCTAAAAGTAAGACAGGATAATTTGGAGGAAACAGTGTAAGAGGGAGAGGAGGAGGAAGATGTCAAGGAAGGGGAGGGAGAGGGAAGGGCCAGGAAACATTCAAAAGCGATAACGATGGCGATGCTGCTGCTACTGATGCTGGTACTGATGTTGATGCCCATGATGATGCTTATGACGATGATGCTGGTGATGTTGGTGCTGATGATGGCGATGATGATGATGATGATGATGGTGATGCTGATGCTGCTGATGATACTAATGCTGATGATGACGAGGATGCTGAGGATGATGACGAAGACGATGATGATGATGACGACGATGATGATGAAGATGGTGAAGATGATGATGACGATGACGACGGCGATGAATATGATAATGAGGATGATGATGTTGATGATGATGATAAGGATGTTGGTGATACTGATGAGAATGATGATGAGGAGGAGGAGGAGGAGGACGAGGAGAAGGAGGAGAACGTGGAGGAAGAGGAGGTGGAGTAGGTTAAGGGGGAGGAGGGGGAGGGGGGGGGAGGACGAGAAATTAGGAGGGAGAGGCGGAGGACGAGAAGGGGAGAAGGATGGGGAGGATGAGAGCAGGAGGAAGACCAGCAGGAACAGGGAGGGAGGGAGCAGCAAGAGGGCAAGTGGAGGGGCGGATGCCCCCTCTTCCCCCCTCCCTCCTGATTCCCTATCCTCCTTCTCGCTTCCTCCTCGCTCCCTCCCCCTCCCTTCTCCCTTCCTCCCTCCATCCCTCCACCTCCTCCTCCTCATCCTCCTATTTCGCTTCATCCTCCAATGTTCTCCTTCCTCCTCCTCCTCCTCCTCCTCCTCCTCCTCCTCCTCCTCATCCTCCTCACTTCTCCCATCCTCGCACTATCCCTCCTCCTCCCTCCCTCACTCCCTCCCTCCCGTCCTCCTTCCTTCTCTCTCTCTCTTTCTCTCTTTCTCTCTCTCCTCTCTCTCTTTCTCCTCTCTCTCTCTATTTCGGTCTCTCTCTCTCTCTCTTTCTCTCTCTCTCTCTCTCCCTCGTTCAACCTCCTCCTCCTCCTCCTGCGTCTCCTCCTCCTCCTCCTCCCTCCATGTTTCTTCTTTTTTAAACAAAAAAACAACTCGTCCGCGTCGCACCCCGAGACGTGTTGGTGGGGCGAGCCGAGCGTGTTGCCTGCGACCTCTTCATCATGTCTGATCACGAAGCTTGAGATTTGCAACAGCTTCGCGGATGAAGGGCGGCCCATTCCTAAACATTGGCTCTCTTTTCGGTCGCGGCCGCGGGACGAAAGTCAGGCGGCAAGGGCAAAGTCCGGGACGCGAACTGAGCTAATTGGCTATACCAGGCAAACGCCGGCCGGCCTGCTCACGCAACAGCCGCGAAGCTGCAAGGGAAGCTGACAGCGGAAGGCGCCCCAGTAAAAAAAAGGCTCTCGGCGTAGCGCCGAGAACATTCGCCTTAAAAATGTGCAGCAGTTCGACGAATGGAGGGCTGCTCCTGTCATACATGTGGCTCTCGCCTCAGCGCCGCGCAGATTCCCCTTGAACGTTTGCAGCGCAAAGTCATGGGTGAATGGCGGAACCGTGTTCAAACTGTGTGCTCTCAATGTGGCACTAGGCTTAGCGCCGCTCACCTTTGCCTGAAAGCTTGCGGTTCACAAATGACGGGCGGGTCGCTTCCGAAGTGTGGCAATCGCCTTAGCGGCGAGCACTTTCGCCTTCGAAGTTTGAAACAGTTTGACACATAGAGGGCGGTTCCTTTCCAAACTGTGGCTCTCGCCTCGGCGCTGCGCACATTCGTCCTGAAGTCTTGAAACCGTTTCCGAAATTTGTATGGTGGAAGTCCCGGGGCTTGCGTTCTGGAGCGATTCAGGAATGTCAGGACGCAACAGAAGCAGTGATTCGCGGTGTTAAGTCCAAGGACTGGCGTTCTTGTGTGATCCATGGTCGCCAGGACGCAACAGTAACATTGACTCGCGGCGTTAATATCCCAGGAATGGTGTTGTGGCACAGTTGGAGATTCTCAATCGTTTGTTTTCCCATGTGACACTTCCCACAATGAAAAAATATTGCTGACACCTATGAAGAGGAAACTTGGAAAAAGGGTTTATTACAGCATCGTTAGTGCGTCTGGGGGTTGCACTGGTCCTCCTCCCTCCTCCTCCTCCTCCTCCTCCTCCTTCCTCCTCCTCCTCCTCCTCGTGATAATCCTTCCTCCACCTCCCACCCTCCTTCCCTCGAGGATGATCGCGCGTCGCGCTTGAATCGGCGCGAAGCCCGAGGCTGAGGCGTTCCTCGCAACCACATATGCGTCGAAGAAGGATGAGGTGGGATGAGGAGGATGAGGAGGAAGAGAGGAGAACGGGGCAGAAGGAGGTGGAGAAAGGAGGAGGGACCAATGTTTCACCTTCATTTCGCGGGGCCAGAATACAAAGCGGCAATGACTTCAACCAACAACTGCCCAGCGGAGTACCCGAGGTGTTGGTAATGCCGTTCCGACTCAAAGACATGCCCCAGATTGAAGAGGAGGATGAAGGGTCATAATAAACCAAAGGTGCATTAGCGAAGCTGCAGCACAACCTCCCGTCCTGAGCCCCCTCCGCATCCGTCGCTACAGGCTTCCCTTCTCACTACAAAAAGTGCCCCCATGTAAAGACCAGCGCCGTATGGGGTCTGCCATTTTGACGAGGGCCGGCACCCGATGGCCGCACAGCTCAACAAGATGTACAACGACCTGCACATTTCGAAGGAGATGGACCAACTCTGTGAAACTGTTGCGCAATCTGACGCTGGCTGTCATGAATTGGAAGGGAGTCTCAAAGGATAGTTTAGCAACACGTATAACAATAAAAAACACCGACTCGTGCAGTGCTACAAGTGTAGAAGTGTCGGGCCTCTGAGGTAGGGAAACTCTCGGGCGATAGCCCTAGGTTTCAAAATCACCGCCCTCCATTCTCGAAGCATTCCCAGATGTTAAAGCGACTGCGTGCATCGCTGAGGCGCAAGCTACGTTTTGAACACGGCCTTCGAATGTGCGCGGCGCCAAGGCGAGTGTACAAAGTTGAAAAAGCAAGCGTTCTCTATCCCTGAAGCTGCCGCAAACAATTAAGACGAATATGCGCGGCGCTGAAAAGACAGCCCCATTTGGCGAACGACCTCCATCAAACCTTGAAGCTGCTGCAGGCTTTTACGACGAACGTGCGCGGCGTTACGCAAGAGCCACATGATGAAAAAGAGCCCCCACCAATCCTTGAAG